CCATTTAGTACTCATAGAAGGAATTGTAGAGTCATTTTTACTTATCATTCATCACATCAGAAAATATAGGGTTTTCTGGAGGAACAGGCGAACTTTTCTAAAGAACTTATAGGTTACTTTTCATAACTAAAATACTTATGAACTCACCAGCTTAAATGCTGATCTACTCTTTTAAAATAACTTGTATTCTCAGGAAACTAGTAGACATGTACACGCTCAGGGATTCAGAAGATGGAGCATAGTAGCTTCATGTCTTGTTTTGTTATTTACTTTGGACTCAATCTTTTGTGAATCTAATACATTGTAAACACTTTAATATTAATGCAATGGTTGTTTGTTACTTTGATTACTATGATGCATGTGTTGTGATACTACATATGACGTCCTCCGCCCCCGAACGTTTCCGCCATTCCGGTTTGGGGGTGTGACAGGGGGGGGGGGGGAATACAAGTAACACACAAGAATATTAACGTTAAATCACAAACATTTAAATACGTTATTTTACCATTCTTAGGAAAAGTGTTAAATACACGAAACGGTTTTACTACCAATCGCATATGATTTCACGAACAACATTTTGCTAAACATTACATTATTCATACAAATATATATATATATATATATATATATATATATATATATATATATATACATATATATATTTCGAGTACAAAACATTCATTTCATCAAAACTTTACAAATATAGTTTACGAAACTTTACCCCTTTGTAACTCGTTGAGTAAAGGGTAAAAATTATATAAAGTACATATGTAATTGTTTTATGATATTTTCGACGTTATCCTGGAAATATGGGATAATGTCATTTACAAACGTTTTCATTTCAAAAACACGTACACTCGTTGAATGGAAATTGTGAGACATTGTCTTCACCGTACCTAACTGAGGTATATAAGAAAGCCCTGTATTTATAACTGGAATCTCCGATACGAGAGCATGATACTTGTTTATAGATCTATACGGGACTGATGATCCCACACCCTGGTTGTTAGCTACAGCCAGACCAGCAGGTTATGGTGACAAATGTCATAAATATTTCGGCGCTTGAAGAACGACAAGGCAGGCACCACATCTTAAAAGCACGGTTATAAAAACTCACATAGTGAAACGACGATACATTTATTTTACACGGAAACACACTACTTCAAACGGTTTATATACAAATAAAAATACATATTACTAGTTTAATGTATGGAAAACACTGGTACATTTCGGTTTTGGAACTTTTACAGCTTACATCTCATTCATTAGAAAATATCGGATTTTCTGTAGTAAACATTATCATTTTACAAGGAAACGGCTTACATCTCATTATTATAAAATATTGGATTTTCTGGAATAAACATTATCATTTTTCAAGTAAATGGTTTACATCTCATTCATTTGAAAATATTGGATTTTCTGGAACAAACACCCTTATTTTACAAGTGAACGGCTTACATTTCATTTATTAGAAAATATCGGATTTTATTGAAACAAATACGATATCTTTTCACGGAAAGGGTTACTATTTTTCACAACTAAATCTTATGAACTCACCAACTTAAATGTTGACACCTTTTCAAACAACTTGTATTATCAGGAAATCAGTAAAACAGGTAAACACCATCTTTTGAAGATGGGGCGCTAAGGCGTCAAACAAGTCTTTTTGTCATCATATTGTAATTGACTTTTGAAACATGTAACACTTACAATGATGTAACTTTTTCAAATATATATATGATGGTCATGTTTGCTTTCTTTTCTATTATAGAACTGTTATGATACAATACATGAAAGTCATCCAACCCCGGACGTTTCCGCCATCCTCGTTTGGGGGTGTGACACAAATGATGATCGAGGTTAGTGGATGAAAAGGCTAACATGGAACTTTCAACTTTGGCACATGCAAGTATCAGGTACAGGAATCATTTAAAAAAAATTATTGTTGTTCTTACTTTATAGCAATTGAGTTTTACTGATTTAAGGTCATTTTCTTCCTAGCTGTTCTTTCATAACAGCCACTTCAGATGGCACTAAACACATTGGTATATAACTCAACACGATTGCAGAGACCAAGAGCTATTTCTTGGAGATATAGCTATGTGTTGTAATTTTGTTTCCTACACCAAAAGAATGAAAAACTATTTGTCTGAATATCACTCACTTGTGAAGTTATTAATTCCTTATATACAAGGGTTTTCAATTCATAATATGATGTTAATATATGATCATATATAAGTTTATTTGCATCATTTCTACCAGGTCATGTTGGACATTGTAGGTCCAGAGTTGCATATTGTCAACAAAACTGAGCATCCTATTTCTCTGGAAGCAGAAACCTTGGTCATTCTCACACCCGATCAAGAAAAAGAAGCCACTTCCAATCTTTTACCAATAAACTTTAGTGGGCTTTCAGAGGTAAATAACTATGTTGATATTTTTAAGGCTGATTCAGAATATGAGAGCTTTTGTATAAAATTTATAATATTTCTTGAACTTCTATGTTTACAAGCAGTGAAAACTGGTGATACAATTTTCATCGGTCAATATTTGTTCACAGGAAGTGAAACAACTTTAGTATGGTTGGAAGTAAGGCAAAATTATAACCTTGGATGATTTGCAAACTATCAAATTTTGATTTATTATACACAGGTAAATGAGGTGAAAGGAGAGGATGTTGTTTGTTTGATAAAGAATTCTGCTACTCTATCCGGTTCGTTATTCACCTTGCATGTATCCCAAATACGTATTGAGCTGCCAACTCTGACGGATAAAGATAAGGAGGTAAAGTTTCTCTTTTGTGATTCCATTAGATGTTTCTTATCATATACTCATTTAAGTTGTAAGATTTATGGAAAACTGTAGGTTATTAGCACATAGGGAGTGCATAACTAAAAAATTAAACATGTTTAAAAAACCGAGCAAAACCAAAATAAGAATATAATAAAAAAACAGTATATCTTCTCATTTTAACAACTAAAATTACAATCTTCTCCATTATTCTTGTGATTCTATCATGCAGGCTCGTGACTACCTCTCCAAATTGGGTGATCTAAGTCAAACTCAGATTTTTGCAAAGATAGAAAATTTTGAGGTCGTATGCCCACATTTTTCAAGCTGTATGTAATCAAATTGTCTCTTGTGTTAGGGCTGAAATACATATGTATATTGGTTTTTATTGTAGGGACTTACCCATTTTGATGAGATGCTACAAGAAGCAGATGGTATAATCCTTTCTCGAGGAAACCTTGGCATAGATCTACCTCCAGAAAGGTTCATTTTATAACTCAAAACTTTAAGATTAAAAGAAGTACTGCTCAATTAGAATGAAAAATTTTTAGACCATAATTGATGTGATCATGCGAAACCTTGAAATAAGGACCAGAGTTGAGAAAAAGTTTTGAATATGGACCAAACACAGTAAAAATCAGTTTTTTAACCAAAATACCTCCACCCCAATACATGCCATGTAGTTACCATGTTTTATGTTGTCTTGATAGGAAGTAGTTTTGGTTTTTTACCAATAGAAATCTCAACCTTACTTTCAGTTGTTCTTGACTACCATGTTATTGTTGTTTTTATTTTTAACGATTTTACCCCTGATAGATTTTGAACCTTATTCCTAAACATGTGGTTACCATGTTTTATGTTGTTTGATTTGTAATTTGTTATGTAAATGAAGGTCTAGTGGTGGGGATAGAGATCAATGCATTAATCATGAAGGCCTTGCAAGTTTTCTAGGTTTTCTAGAAAATTGTCATTGATGAGAAAATATGTAGAAGAATGTGAATATGAGTTGCAGAAGGTTGCATTTTCAGTTGTTAAGGAAGTAGCAGGTAGCAACATACTTTTAATTTTTTTTAATTTGGAACAAAATGCGGGAAATAGCAACATATTTACATTCTTTATACATATATATAGCAATGTATTAGCAATTTGTTACTCATAATAGCAACATACTATGTTTTTTTTAGAAAATTGATTATTTTGAGAAATTTTCAGTTCTAATTTGGTCAATAGACTCTAAAAAGAGTTGACACTGGTTGATTGAAGTTAGTTATAAAATTTTGATGGTTGATTGAACCATTTTCAAGTAGCTGATTCTGGGCATGAATATATGGAATGTGTTAGGTACAAGCTTGTATAAAAAGTGTTGACACTGGTTGATACATCTTCAAGTGGTGAGGTTGCAACGCTTAAAGCTCCATGGATATTGTCAAAGGAGAAATTACTCACGGTGTCCTTTTAATGTACATATTTTATTTTTCTATAATAGATATCATGCAATATTAGCAATGTATTACATTACTTACTATTGGAATGATTATTTGTATTTGACATATTAGTGTCATGAATTATCTTTCTTATTTATTATATTTTATTTTGTATTATGAGACTTCTAATGTGTTTTTTAATTTGAAAATAACTAAATCTATCAAAATATATAATTTTTAAAACATTTAAAATTATGACACGCAAAAATGTGTGTCGTCTTTCTTTATGATAGGGGCTTTAATGATACGCAATGCGAGTCGTAAATGCGCGTCGTAAGGTTACGACACGCAAATGCGTGTCGTCTTCTCTATGACAGAGACTTCCTTGACACACATTGCGTGTCGTAAGAGCGCGTCGCAAATGTGCGTCGTAAGGTTACGACACGCAATTGTGTGTCGCCTTCCTTTATGATAGAGCCTTCCTTGACACGCATTTACGTGTCATCTGTGGCTTTTATGACACGCAATGCGTGTCATTAAAGAGTGTTTTTGTAGTAGTGATAACTTAACTTTGATATTATTATTATGAAATCTAACTTATTTATATCATTTGTTGTAGAGTGATACATTGTCGGATGATAAGTTTGGATTCGACTTGAAAGTAAAATACTTCTACAATGTATTTAAAGAGTTTTTAGTCAGAAACAATATTCCACCTTATTTAACTTCTATAGATATGATAATTTTAAATTTAAATTTATCTCTCTCTCTTTCTTTCTATATATATATATATAATATTTGTACATGCGTGTGTGTATATATATATATATATATATATATATATATATATATATATATATATATATATAGAGAGAGAGA